AGCACTCTTCTGATTGTTTTATTGGTTTTAAAGTTATTTATTTGTCATTGCACGAGATGAATATTGTAGTCTGCTTTCAACATTGTATATCATAATTTTGTACATACGATATGTGCGGCAAAGCACACCTGCATCTCTAGTCACCACCACTGTATTTCGTGAATCGTACAACATATAAGAGTCATGTTACGGCTAGTGTCCGAATCTGCTCGTTCTAGAATTTGCCGGTTTATAAGAATCGATTCTTAGGTTTGATTCTTGAGAAAATAATATAAATGAGCTTTTCCGAAAATACGCATATTCAAGCTCATTTTCACTGGGAAAGTTTGTGAGTAGTGGTCACAAATGCAATAATATATAAAATAGCCTATAATGTAAGTATTAACGGCGATTTTTCAACAGAAATACTCTTATTCATGGGCTCTGGCAACGAAAATCTAGATGTATCTACGCCAATACATTACTTTTTTTATTTCAAATGTTCCACTCAATTTCATTGCTCTGCTTAAAGTGTTCAATTTAATCTCTGCCTCCTTTGGCCCAACTTCCTTATCTTGATTATTACACTTTTCACAAGCTGGCAGTTTGCATGGCATCAAACAATGCCAACACATCATTTCCTCTTCTAGTGGGTCGTAACTATAGTTGTATTTTTCGTTGGAGCCCATCAATTCCAAAACCTCAATGCCATACAATTATGACTCATTACACTACTTTCCTCTGTACTGACAACATTAATATTCTTTTAAAACATTCTTCGATGTGTTTCATTCAGATTGGTTATAGAGTTTTCGTTTCAAAATAAAAATCTACGGCGATCGGAAGAAACATTCAGAAAAAATTTAACATGTAGAGTATTTCCGTCACCATAGAGAGTATAGACAATTAACGCAACTTGCACCCTGTCGTTCTCTTAAGTTATTTTACAATTTTAAATTCGAAAATGGACTATTTCTCAGGATGAACTCCAACGAGAACAAGAGATCAATCCAACACATATTACGACGTTTCTTGAAACTTGAGATCAATTGCGGTAATATGCAATTTTGTTATATTTTCTCAGATACTTCAAGTGTTCAGTTTGTTAATAATTTTAATTTTAATTACCTAATATCAATATTTTAAATTCAAAAAAGAACATAATTGTAATTGTAAATACCAACTGAACAGTATTATTGACATTGTAAAATATTGATTTGTAATAAAGAAATTGAATTTGGTATTACAAGTTTTATAATATGTATTCTTCCACCCTTTATTTTTCTTGTGTTTCCACTTTTCTCACTTCTCAACTACGTTTAAGTACATCTTACTTTCAAACTAATGAATTGAAAATATGTATACATATTTAAAAATATATACGTAATATTTAAGGTAGTATATTACATTTGTTCAATAAATGATATAGATAAGAACATCTCAGTGATTGTTTTGTAGGTGTAAAATTTCTAAATAAAATTAAAAATCTGTTTCTTTAAAAATATTATTCCCAAAGCAAAATACAAAATGAGAAATAAAAGATGTTAACAAAGTTAGTCTGGTTCACTCATAATGTTATTTTCACTATCTCAATTAGTAACTGATCAAATATATTTACGTATCTATCAAAAATATTTCAACTTCAACAACTTAATAAATAATAATAATAATAATAATAATAATAATAATAAGAAGAAGAAGAAGAAGAAGAAGAAGAAGAAGAAGAAGAAGAAGTAGAAGTAGAAGAAGAAAAATAATACATTTTATATGCCAAAATTCCTCCTTTATACTGGTCCCAGGAAATCTGTTAATTTATCAATTAAATAAATGAAAGCCGCTTGATATAGTAAATGGAGCAGCAGAGAAAGACGAAAACCCCTGGCACTGGGCATCTTCACGATTTTGTACCATTTCAACCTCGTCCACTAAATGTTTTGTTTTGATCTGTTTTTATTTTTGCTACAATTCTGTAGAGCAAAATAAAGCAAAACTGACGAAAAATAGCTTTGTTTCGAATATTGATCTCTATACAGTATTTGAGAAACGCCAGAGTGTGCGATTGTGCGCTTTCGACACGTCCCGGTCTCCTCATGGGGGACTCGTCATTTGTTTTTGGGACAGGCCGGCGGGTTCTAAGAAATTTCCAGAAATGTGTTTTTGCGTGATGTGGCGCTGCAATCTCAGCGAGCACGCCGGGAATTAAACCAACACCAACTGAGTAGATCTAGGTAGGTGGTGTTGATTAAACTTGGGCGGGAACCAGATACCAGCGTGACGGCGTACTTGTACGCCGGCAGGAGTGCGGATAAAGTTTAGATGTCCACCTCGGGGATCAATCCCCCCTGATAAAACAAGTCGAACTGTGTGATGCGGTAGACCACTCGAGGTATATACTGTTTTTTGCATACTTATTTTCTCTCCCGGTTTCACGGGCTCTTCCCTACCTACGTAGCATTAATGTCCACTGAAGTGGATCGGAGGCGCACTGGCTGCCGCGCACTCCGAAGACAGCGGCCCACTGCGCTCAGCGACTGCACCGGGACGACTGATTCTGGATAGCACCGCAGGGCGCAGGGCGGTCAGCAGCGACAAGGCGCGCTCTCCGATAAGAAGCGGGCCAATGGGAAGGCGCCGCCCCTCCACTTTCCCACCTTGTTGGATTTAAATTTATTTACATTTATTCAGTCAAAAAACAGTAAAAACTGTATGTGACGTAGGGGGGGGGAAAGATTAGCTACGCACGTTTTCTGGAGTTACAAAATTCCTTCTCGTCATTTTAACTATAAATAGTTTAAATATGAGTAAAAGTTTAATATAAATAAATAAATAAAAATAAAACTTTTAAAAAGTGCGAGATTAGTGACATTTGAAAAACTAGACATTTTCGTTCCCGAGTTATAGAAAACTTTGCATCGGTACAGGAATTGCAATTTTTCTGCATCGCTAAAAATAGTAACTCTCCCTTACCTCTACTCCTAGCACTTCAAATAAAAGGGGAGTTCAACAAAAGGAGAACATAGTGAAGCTACCTTTACGTCCAGAAGCAAAACAAGGGGCCATCTCAGCATTTGCTCAGTGGATCTGGAAACTAGACAAAAACCTGATCGAGATGGGTTGGGCGGTAACTCATCATGTGTCAGGTAGGAACCAATGAGACGAAAACGACACGGAGAAGTCTCGCCGAGATAGTTCGGAAAGTACACAATCGCCTCCGAGTAGAGGAGCCGGTAGTTGAGTTTATTCCAGGATATTCCGAGCTACCTCGTGTCAGAGTGTCCGCTGTGCGTAGTTGAGTGACGAAAACTGTGGATCTGTTTACGGACTGCGGTAGATTGTGCTGTTTGAGGGACACCTTGCGGAGGAAGTGAATTTTGTTGGTTTAAGGTACACGATATCCGGTTCTAGTTTTCAGAGCAGAATCTCGAGGACATAATACATTGTGGTGGTTGAGAGAAAAGAAGAAAAGTGTGAGGGATTCAAAATTTTGAATGCCTTTCCTGACTATACCAGTCTTCATTTCAGTTGTTAATTGGGGTTCTGAACATTCCGTCTAGAGAATTTTACTTCCTGCTTCTTGAACAATTAATAACCGCGACCAGCAGTTTGCCCCGCTTCCTACCCCACCACCACCACCACCACCACCACCGCCCCCTCCAGAAATTCCCCTAGATTATATGTTTTGGGACCCTGACGCGAGGTCGTGACGCCTGCTGAAGCGAACATTGTTGGAACATAAAACTTCGAAAGAGAAAATGTACACCAGTATATGCGGGAAAAAATAACATGTTGTTCCCACGAATTTTTTACATAGCTTAAAACTTTTAATCTATTTATTAAAAAATGTTTTTACATTTACAACTGAATAATATTCAGTGATCAGCTCTTGTTTGTTATCAGCGATTGTTTATTATCAGATACTGATAAGGTGAATAATTTCACTATCTTTACTTGTCACGTCACAGAACATTCTGCACAATCTCGGTTATCTGGCCAGTAGGTTACCAATATATTCTCGAGTTCTGCAGTTTTTGAGAGTCTGTGAGGAAGTCTTTGTAAGTCGTCTTCCGCATCTACCAATAGTACTGTAAGTCTGCATAACAATCTAATAACATTCTTTTACTTTCCGTTTTATATCTTAGCATTTCTCTGCCTATTATTATGTATTTTATCCCCTACCACAATAAAAAGTACAGAAGTGAATTCTTAAGTTCAACACCAGCTGCACAAATGATTTCGCATTGTACAATATTTCCTTCGTTCACTTTTGTAACGACATTTGTATTCATGAATTCAATTATCGTTATGAATATTTTTGGAATATTCTGATCTCTTAATAATTAATGTCTTCTACTCTTACGTAATCGAATGCTTTCTTGAGGTCTGTAATTCAACGGCCATTTTAACGACTTGGCTGATTAGAAACGCGGAATCTGCTGTTGATCGATTAGCTTCAAATCCTTGTTGTTTTTCCATTTATCTACAGAAATGTTTTTTTTTCTTATATGAACTTTGAAAACAACTTTGAATCGTATTTACGAATGTAACACATCGATAGTTCCCTGGGTTATTCTCCGCTCCTTTTGTAAAGTTTGGTATGGCCCTGCCCGTTTTAGCTAATCTTTTAACCTGTTGCCACCTTCCTTCGTTCCGACTTTCCCGAGAGTGAATCTTCAGGTGACTTAAAAAAAATATTTCATGAAATTGAACAAGATCGATTTTTCATCATAATTTTTAAAATATTTTTACCAAAAGGACCGAAAAGAATATCCACAAGGATATTGCTCCTTTGAAAGTATTTTATCCATGGAATTTCATTTATATCGTTTAAATAAAATTACAAAACAAAGAAATATTGGAGTGCCTTGTTCTTTTGGATCTTATACAGAATGAATTGCTCGTTCTCAGTAAAATTAATTTCAATCCAATGGTTTGCAGATCCGGCTGAAGGAAAAACCAGGCAGAGAGAAAGGATCTTTTCCGCCCACAGAGCTCACGCGCCCGCGGCTGTAAGCGATAGCGCTATGCCGCACCCCTCGGCCGCAGAGGTAGAGGCCGGAGGGCAGACGGAAAGGAAGGAGCAACCGAAGGGGGACGGCGCGCAAGAGAGAGCTGCGTCCAAAGGAGGAGGTCCTTCCCCGTTGCCTCCTGCTGGGAGGTCGGACGCCTCCAGCGCTCAGCCGCCGGAAGCAGAGTTGCCGCCGTACTCGTCTACGCATGCGCCAGCGCCTGGGCCAGCGCTCTCCGCCGTGACGGAACAACCGCGCCAGCCGCCCCCGCCGTACGAAGCCTCCGGCCTCGGTAACGTCTTCACTCAGGGACATTCACTTCCGTCAGTTGAACTTTCTCGCATTCGTACTGTACGCGCACGTTTTCTTGATAGTCCACAGCGTGGGGTGCGGGGTGTTTCGGCTATGTCTCGGCTTAACGCGCCAAAGCTTGCCACGATAAATGTTTCGATTGTTCTGAAAGTATAAGATAATTGTTGGCAGCATTGTAAATTGGGAAGTGCAGTTACAAGTCGTGGGCCCATCTCTCGAGAAAACTTGCCCCAGAAGTACGCAGTCTATGTTATCAAAAGTATCCGGATACGTGGCTGAAAATGGCTTGCCAGTTCGTGGGGATCGGTAATGCATCGTATGGATCGCGATCGGTAATGCATCGTGGGGATCGGTAATGCATCATCGGTAATGCTGGAATTTATTAGGGTGTTGGCCCACCCTTAGCCTTGACAGGTTCCGCCCTCGCAGGCATGTTTTCAATCAGGTGTTGGAAGGTGTCTTGAGGAATGGCAGCCCCTTCTTCACCGAGTGCTGCACTGAGGAGAGGTATCGATGTAGGTCGGTGAGACCTGGCACGAAGTGGACGTTCCAAAACATCCCAAAGGTGTTCGATTGGATTCAAGACAGGTCTCTGTGCAGGCCAATCCATTACAGGGATGTTATTATTGTGTAACCACTCCGCCACAGGCCGTGCAGTATGAACAGGTGGTCGATCGTGTTGAAATATGCAATCGCCATCCCCGAATTCCTCTTCAACAGTGAGAAGCGAGAAGGTGTTTAAGACATCAACGTAGGCCTATGCCGTGATACTGCCGTACAAAACAACAGGCCTCCTCCATGAAAAACACGACCACATCATAACACCATTTTCGACGTGTCAGGATACTTTTGATCACATAGTGAATTTACGGAGTAACATACGTCGTATGTCGGAACGAAGTGGTTGAGGGTGTAGCGCGCTGATTTTGCATTAGGGAGGCCAGGTTAAATCCCGTACCCGGCCATCTTGAGCGGTTTCTTTGTAGTTTTCCTCCGTCATCTATGCGAATTACATGACAATAGCATCTCTGAAATAGACTGGCCTGCACAGAGTCCTAACTTGAATCCTATCCAACACCTTTGGGGTGTTTTCGACCTCACCGACTCACATTGATACACCTCTTCAGTGCAACACTCCGGGAAGACTGCGCTGCCAATGCCCAAGGCACCTTCCAGCACCTGATTGAAAGGGTGCCTGCGAGAGTGGAAGCTGTCACCAAGGCTAAGGGTTGGCCAAAACCCTATTTAATTACAGCATTACCGATGGAGGGCGCCACGAACTGGTAAGTCATATTCAGCCATGTGTCTGGATACTTTTGATCACAGTGTAGGTGTTTACCTGTTTACCTCGACAGATAAAAAGGGTCCAATTATTAATCAGCAAGACCAACTAAAACTGAAATATATTTCTTTTGTAAAATCGTGAGTATTTCAGCAGGTAAAAAGACTTCCAGCTGGTATAAATATTAATTGTCAAGGAACATGTAAAGCTATTTTACGTATTCGTATTTACGTGTACACATTTTCGTATTCGCCCTTGTTATATAAGTTAACCCTGCTGCACTCGCGGTAGTAAAAGTTGTTCTGGTACACATCTCTCAGATGCATCGTCTGTATTTTAGCTGATCCAGCTTGACAAACCGGTTACTGGGTGTTACAGGCCGGAACACACATTAAACATATTTTCTGATATCGAAATAAACTTGAATAAACAACATATATATAAACAGTATAACAAAATATGTTAGAAAGCTCTATATGTTGTAAAGTGTACTACATCCTCTAGTCGACGGTGTGCTACACTGCGACCGGGTTGGTTAAGACTTTTCTAATGACGACACCTCAAAATGTATTGTCATAAACACGAAGCTATGGTATCTGAGAACTGCAAAAAATAGGTACTGGGGAGGATTGTGTTCTGAGAAATCTGTTTGGCGCGTTATCAAGGGACGAAGTTCTCAGTCGTGTGAGAGATCGACTGCATGCGCTGTAGGAGAGTACAAGAAAATAAATGTTGGAAAATGGAGGTTTGTAATAATAAAATAGCAAGTAAATAAAATTTTCAACATTATGCAAACGTGTCTCACCGGCGTAACTTTTAGTATTAAAAGAACTTAATGCTTTTACTTTCTCGCATACATTCTGACAATAAAGATAGTTATGTGAGGCTCCATCGAAAAACAGCGAATTTTCAGAAGATAAATTTGTATTGTCAGTTCTTAAATCGAAAAAGCGGAGAATTCTCGTTCTTGTATGGGGAAAATTACTTCTATCACGTTGTGTTGCCAAAATTCATCTTTTTCCTCTGTCCGCATCTACATGAAATATTTCTGCTAACTAGTTACGTGTTATTTCTGTTTCAGATGACAATCATTCTCATACACCCCCATCACTCCACAAGGCAACGGATCGTCCAGGGGGACGTTCCAAATCTCATAATTCCAAATCTGCATCCGATCGTTGCTGTGATGATTGTTGCTTGCATACAAGTAATTGTCTTGTAACGATGATGTGGTTTTGTTGACTATTTCAAGCCTATGTTTACAAGCTTCTCCAAAGATTTTTTTCTATTCGTTTTCTGTAATTATTATTTATTATAGGAATATTGGCAGAAATATGGCATTTGCTTGTTTGTACGAGTGTTTTCAAATAATTTTGAATAAATATCTCAAACATTTTTTATTGCTTTTTATTTTCATATTCAACATGTTTCATTCCAAAGTGTGTTGTAATTCATAAACATTTAAATCGTATTTCAATGTTCGTTGGCATTAACATTATGTTATGCTAACAAATTAGTAGTATTGTCTTACAGAACGTAAGCCATGTACAGACTGTGGTACTTTCTCGTATACTGCTTACAACTAATAAGTCATTTTTTACCCTTTTACGTTATTATAAATCACTTTTTAATGATTTCATCGAACCATGATTTAAAATTATTTTAATGGTGCTTCAAACGAAATTTACGTGGTGCAACAAATGTTCACCAGAGAATTCATGAGTAACTTATTCTATTTCTTCGCTCACATATTGTAATTTCAGCCGTTGTGAGTTCTATGTAATCTAAGATTTCTGTGACGACTATAGACGCCTTTGTCAGTTCGGCCGATTACGCGACCGATAAAGGCAGAGATTTTCTTTTAAAGAACAGTCCAAACCAAACGTTTGCAAACTGAGTTCACTTGAGCAATAGGAAGAAGCCTCATCATTACATCAGTAACATATCCAATAGGTTGCGTTGTTCATCTGAAGTGGTTTTGATCACATTTTTACGTCTTTTTTAGTTAATTTTTTTAGCATTTTAAGAGCATTTTATTGATCATTTTTGGCAATGTTTTACGTCATCAAAATTCGTCCTCTCTTTATAACCTTAAAGTTTTTACGTCACATTAGTTTTATTTTTTATAGTGGTAAGCATGTATTATTACGGTTGTTTAAAACAATTATTAGTAATATTTTCTCCCTGAAACGCATGTGTTTGGCTCCACACATCTCTGGGAGCTGTTTCACATCTAATACTATTCTAAGAATAGTATAATTTCAGAAACTTTGTACCAATCTACTACTTTACATCTTAAATTATCACTTACTTATACTTATTATCAACCTGAAGATATTCTTAGCCAGAAAAAAAGTTATATTTTTGCGTGAAATAATAAAGTATGTTGGAAGTCAACTGCTTGTTAGTTTTGAATGGGCCAAGTCTAATACCGATTTTCTTGTCTTCTTTATATATTATCCTTCAAAAAATTGAGAACTACATATTTCATTATTCATTAATTATTTTCTTTAACTCGTTCAGTTAAAACTGTAAAAAATGTATAATCAAGAATTTTGTAAATATCATGTATAATTTCGTTAGCATTTAACAATTGGATATGACAATGCTCATAAAGTTAAATGCGTATATAGCTTAATTGTCAAAAATTTGAAAATACCTCTCGATACATCTTCAACATTACTACATTATATACGCAGTACTTAAAAAGCTTTCAAACTCTTCACAGATTCCCAGGTAGATTCAATGTTTTTTATTCGGTACATTCGAAAATCACGTTTTCGTATATTTTGAAATCAGTGTTATTGCTCGTTCAATGTTTAGTTTTTCTCATTTACCCAGTGATGCAAATTCTAGACATTTATTGGCATGTTCTTCTATTTTTACTACAACCCATATCTCCCAAAACATTTTACCCTTAGCGGAAGTTTCCTGATACATTAATTTAAAGTGAAGACAAATTTAAGAGCTATTTTTTCTTAACGTTATTGCAAGTGCTAGCGCATGTGTAGACCCTTCTTCTAATAGCTAAATCGACTTCTGAATTCAATTCAGCGACTTTTAAGTTTCAGCTTTCTTAGAAGTCTTAAGAAATTGTAACGGTTTATCTCAATTCGCCATGCTTAGATACAATCATCACAGGTATCACGATATTCATCTATAGCTTTGATAAACCTCGGACGTTTTTAAAGCACACGTCGATAGTTCTTGCTAAATTATCTGAGGAAATATTGCGACTACCTGATTAGAGAACATTCGTAAATAATTGACTCGTGAAGTTTATCTCCTTCCATAGGCAGAATTCGACTATTTAATTGATACTAAGTTTTGCCTAGGAGCATTTCAGAGATTTAAGTACTGGCGTGACGATGGCGTTTTATTTCGAATTAAAAAAATCAAATGAATTTCAGACATAGGGTGCATTTAATATTATGCAATTTTGTTGGATTTTTTAATTATTCTATTACAATCGCGGGAACTCAAAAAAATATAACAAAAGTTTAAAAAACTGATGCCTTAAAAAATTGAAAATGGACTCACATTTCATTCCGATTGTAGGTCAGAACCTAAACTGAATATTGTGACATTGTAGTTCGACATGATGGGCTATTAACTGTTTTACATTTTAATAGGTTTCTAGTTTCTACTCTTTCGTGATGACCCTGCTACGGAGAAGGAGAAAAGCAAACTCTTCACAC